CTCTCTCTCTCTCTCTCTCTCTCCTTCCCCCCTTCCTCACTATCTCTCTCTCCTCCTTCCCCCTTTCTCTCTCTCTCTCTATCCTCCTTCCATCCTCCTTTCACTCTCCCCCTCCTTCCCCCTTCCTTCCTCTCTCTCTCCCTTCCATCCTTTCCCTCTTTCTCTCTTCCTTCCCTACTCTCTCTCTTTCTTCCTTCCATCCTCTCTCTCTCTCTGCCCTCCTTCCATCCTCATCTTCTTCCTCTCCTTCCCATCCAGTCATTAGTTGTATGCAGTGTCACAGACAGCCCAGCGGGCTCGGTGCACTGTGAATGCAGCCGTCAGTGCACACGCAGTCAGCACTCATCATCTCGCTCCATGTGACGATAAATGGCGCTATTTACCCAGACAAACTGCCGCTCGCAGTGAGCAGATACAGGGCGCTGCGTGGGAGCGAGCCGACCGGCAGCGTATTGATATTCCGTCCCTCAGGGGCACACGTTCAACACATTCACATGAAACTTTTAAAATGATAAAATCCGCACCCAGAATTCCCATCGCACAGAACATCCGCGTCAGGATCAATGCTGCCGCTATACACTACCGTATGTCACCGCAGAGGAGTTTGTGTACACAGTTTTATTTCAGCAGTTCACATTGCTCTGACATTTGCACCAATTTCATGCTGAACAGTCTTTGCTGGGACTTGTGGTTCATCTGTAAACAACACGCTGCGTGAAAAGAGCACCAGACGGCAGAAAGTCCACATAGCATGACGAGTTCACATCATGACTTCTGTTTACAAATATAATATAAGGAACAATTACATAGCAAAAACCTTGGTGACCAATTGTAATACTATACCTAAACAGGAAGTGATTTGTGGCTGGTTGCCGTGGGTTACTGAAACTCATAACTATGTTCCGCGTAATTCAGGGCACGTTCACACCGGTCTGCGTGCTAAAACGGGAAAGCATGCTGGTGTGCGTTGGCTGCAAAGCAGAACAGAGGAAGAAAGTGTTGGTTGCCCCTTGCAACTGACAGGAAAACAAGTGAATTGTGGTTGCTATGGGCATCATACTCCTTTGTTTCCACCATGACAGTATTGTCACATAACAACCAATGCACTTACCACTGATTTATACCAGCTGAACGGCGTACCATACAACCATACCACAACCAAGGCCGCGGTATTGTCCAGAACAGGACACGGTGAGGAAAGGGCATCATACATCATAAATCGCTCAAAAAAAGGGTCATGTAGGAGCGACAAGCTACAGCGACGAGCTACAAGCGATATTGAGCGACAAGATGTGAACAGCTCCATTGAAATGGAGAAGCTACATAGAGCGATATCGCGTGGAAATATGAGCGATATCGCTGCAAAAATCGCTCGATAAATCGCTCAATGTGAATGGGGCCTAAGTCTTCATGCTCACAGTCCGTTGTCTTCACCATTGTCCATAACATGCATGGCGCTCACTTCACTACCACCTGAGCTGGTAGACAAACGAGTGGGCACTAGGCCTACATGTACTGACTGTATAAGGTCCATACTGTGCCCACAGGCACCAATGTATCAGGTCTATACCATGCCCGCAAGCACACACTATACAGGGAATATATTGTGCCCACAGGTACCAATGTATCAGGTCTATACTATGCCCGCAAGCACACATCATACATGGAATATACTGTGCCCACAGGTAGCAATGTATCAGTTCTATACTATGCCCGCAAGCACGCACCATACATGCAATATATTGTGCCTACAGGTACCAATGTATCAGTTCTATACTATGCCCGCAAGCACGCACCATACATGGAATATATTGTGCCCACAGGTACCAATGTATCAGGTCTATACTATGCCCGCAAGCACACATCATACATGGAATATACTGTGCCCACAGGTACCAATGTATCAGGTCTATACTATGCCCGCAAGCACACACTATACAGGGAATATATTGTGCCCACAGGTACCAATGTATCAGGTCCATACTATGCCCACAAGCACACACTATACAGGGAATATACTGTGCCCACAGGTACCAATGTATCAGGTCTATACTATGCCCGCAAGCACACACTATACAGGGAATATATTGTGCCCACAGGTACCAATGTATCAGGTCCATACTATGCCCACAAGCACACACTATACAGGGAATATACTGTGCCCACAGGTCCCAATGTATCAGTTCTATACTATGCACGCAAGCACACAAGCACACACCATACATGGAATATACTGTGCCTACAGGTACCAATGTATCAGGTCTATACTATGCCTACAAGCACACAATATACAGGGAATATATTTTGAACACAGGTACCAATGTATCAGGTCTATACTATGCCCACAAGCACGCACCATACATGGAATATACTGTGCCCACAGGTAGCAATGTATCAGGTCTATACCATGCCCACAAGCACACACTATACACATAATATACTGTGCCCCCAGGTAGCAATGTATCAGGTCTATACCATGCCCACAAGCACACTCTATATGGAGAATATACTGTGCCCACATGTGCCAATGTATCAGGTCTATACCATGCCCACTATACTGAACACATATATGCAGACTATACTCTGCCCGCTGGTATGCATAAAAGTGTGACTATACCATGCACATATATGCAAACTATACTATGCCCGCCACACACATCCTATAAAGATTTTACACTGTGCCCACATTTATACATCACATCATGCCCACCATGGGCTCTTTATACCATATGCAGAATATAGACAGTATACATCACGTGGAGGCCAACAGGGTCTCACCATATATACTGTGCACATAACTTCCCATTCTATAGACTCAGAAGAGAGAGCATGCTGCCAGCAAAGGTGCCAATAAGTGTTATTGTATCAAGTCTATACCATGCATCACATCATGCCCACCATGGGCTCTTTGCATCATATGCAGTCTATATAAGGTAAACATCACGTGGAGGCCAACAGGGTCTCGCCATATATACTGTGCACACAGCTACACATTCTATAAGCAGAGGGAGGGAAATGTACTACCTTATCAGGCCTATGCCATGCTCACAACAAGCACACGCTATATAGAGATGGTAATATGGCCATTATTATACTTACAGGGACTATACTGAACACATATATATGCAGATTATGCTGTGCCCACATCTATATATCACATCATGCCCACACTGGGCTCTTTACATCATATGCAGTCTATAGTATATACCGTACACATCACATGGAGGCCAACAGGGTCTCACCATATACACTGTGCACATAACTACTCATTCTACAGTCACAGACAGAGCATGGTGCCAGCAGAGGTGCCAGGCATAGACTTCCCTGTGCCCACTGGTACCATCGGATCAGGTCTATACCATGCTCACATGCTCACAAGCACACTATACAGAGATTATACTGTGCCCGCTGGTATGTATAATAATAGGACAATACCATGTACATATATGTAGACCATACTGTGCCCGGGGGTATGTATAATAATAGGACAATACCATGCACATATATGTAGACCATACTGTGCCCGGGGGTATGTATAATAATGGGACAATACCATGTACATATATGTAGACTATACTGTGCCCACTGGTATGTATAATAATGTGGCTATACCATGCACATATATGCATACTATAATATGCCTTTCATACACATCCTACAAAGATTATACACTACGCTCACATTTATACATCACATCATGCCCACACTGTGCTTCATATGCAGACTATTTACAGTACACATCACACAGAGGCTGTGCCAACAGGTTCTCCCCCTGTATAGACTATACACAGTGCACACAGATATCTAATACACAGAGATCATAGATGAAGCATGCTGCCAGAGGTGCCAGGTACAGACCCTGCTGTGCCCACCTTGGGCATCATACATGGACTATATATAGTACACATCACACAGAGGCAGTGTCAACAGGTTCTCCCCATGTATAGACTACAGAGTGCACAGAGATTCCATAGAGATCATAGAGTTGCCAAAGGTGCCAGGTACATACCCTGCTGTGCCCACAATGGGCATCATAGACAGACTAGACATAGTACACATCACACAGAGGTTGTGCCAACAGCACCTTTGGCATAGAGCTGCCAAAGGTGCCAGGTACAGACCCTGCTGTGCCCACCATGGGCATCAAAGACAGGCTATACATAGTACACATCACACAGAGGCAGTGCCAACAGGTTCTCCCCATGTATAGACTATACAGATTCCCATTCCATAGAGATCATAGAGCTGCCAGGAACAGACCCTGCTGTGCCCACCATGGGCATCATAGACAGACCATACATAGTACACATCACACAGAGGCAGTGCCAACAGGTTCTCCATGTATAGACTATACAGAGTGCACACAGATTCCCATTCTATAGAGCTGCCAGAGGTGCCAGGTACAGAGCCTGCTGTGCCCACACAGCAGCAGCAACAGCAGCAGCAGCACCCCAGCGAGCAGCAGATGTCTCTTTGTCTGAAGCACCAGCCCGCATTGCATACTAATTCCATCCAGCATAGACTATACCATCCAGGGGCCACCTACCACCCGGTGCCCATATTCACACCTTCCACCAGTGCCCAGCTGGGCAGTTGGCACATGCCAACATGAAGGGTTACAAAAGAAAAGTTGCAGCCAGCCCTTACCTGTGGCACAGAGCAGAGCAATGCAGCCCAGCACGGTGGTAGCAGCCATGTCCCAGGGCTTCCATCCAGAGGTGCCCCCCGTGTGCCCGGCAGCGGCTGGCAGCAGATCTCCTCTCCGCTATATGAGGCGCTCCAGAACAAGAATGAGGATCGCACAGGCTCGCACTGGAATCTTCCACTCCGACACACAGCGGAGGGGGGGGGGGTCGGCGCGGGCTCAGCGCCTCACTCTCTGCTCCTCGCACAGCAGGTGGGCAGAGCTCCCCCCTCCGCACATGGTACTCCCGGCGCTAGGCACAAGCTGGCTCCGGGGGGCTCAGAGCCCGCACCGGGGACAATCGGGGCCGGAATGTGGAGTGCTGGTGACCAGGGAAGCCCGGCCAGGCAATGTGTGCCGCCGGACACCACTTCCCCAGAGCCCCCTGCCAGCCTCCACCTGCCCCTGTGGATGCCAAGGAGGAGTGCACACATTCCGTACAGTGCAACAACGGGGCAGACATTCCGTACAGTGCTGATGGGCACAAAACCACCCATCTGCTGCCCGCTGTATGCAGTCAGGATCTGCTGTGTTTCCAGGGTGGGCATTAGACCCTTGCCCCTTCCCACCTGCTGAATCTATATAGCCACTAGAGCATGCCTTCTGTGCCAAACACAACCCTCTACTTGCTGCTTCTCTATACCAACTGGGGCATGCCTTCTGTGCCACAGAGAGTCCTCTGCTGGCTGCTTCTCTATACCAACTAGGGTATGCCCTTTGTGCTACAAACAGTCTTTGCTAGCTGCTTCTCTATACCAACGAGGGCATGCCTTCCCTGCTGCAGACAGGCCACTGCCTGCTGCTTCTCTATACCCATTAGGGCATGCCTTCTGTGCCACAGACAACTCCCTGTCTGCTGCTTCCCTATACACACTAGGGCATGCCTTTTGTGCCATAGACAACCCTTTGCCTGCTGCTTCCATTTACAGACTAGAGCATGCCCTGCTTCTCTATACTAACTAGGCTATGTCTTCTTTGCCAAAGGCAGCTCTGTGCCTGCTGCTTCCCTATACCTACTAGAGCATGCCTTCTGTGCCATAGACAACCCTTTGCCTGCTGCTTCTCATACCAAGCAAAAACCGCACACTTCATGGTATACAATCCCCTTGAGGTCATGCCAAGCAAAACCGCACACTTCATGGTATACAATCCCCTTGAGAAAAAAAGACCCCAATTCCCAATATAATAATAATAAAATCATGAAGTAAATGCCGACAAAAGTAGATAACGGAATCCACCAGATGACTTCATCTTTATTCTGGGTCATCACAATCAGCGTCACAATGACCTGTACGGGAATACAGACACAGAGATCAGTTACAGTATTTACACACCCCGAACGCTCCTTCACACCCGATATGGGGTCATCAATTTTGTAATTTTCAGTTTAATAGAAATGATAAATAGATGATTTCCAGTCCTCACCGTTGTGTGCTCTGCAGGATGCTGGAAGAAGTTCACTGTGCTGCATCTGGGTACAATGACCTGAAATGTGCTTCAATCGCCCCTCTCTAGCAGTATGTACTCACCTTTCCTTGGCTCCCCACCAGCCATTCTGTTCAACAATGGGACCCGGTACTTCCAGGTATGGAGGGCCATGTAAATCACCCATGTGACAGTGCTGGGCCAATCAGCAAAGTCACCGGCGGATCCATAGCCCGGTGTAAGCTCCAACTGGCGACTCCCAATGGCTGAATGGCATGATGGTGAGGCGTAAGGAAGGTAAGCATATGCGTCTGTGGAGGCCTGGTAGAACCGCCTGCCAATCAGGTAATAGGGAGCCCAAAAAACACATTAAGAGGTTAAACACAGGACGGCTGTACGCTGTTACTACACATGCACACTATGACTCTTTCCAATGGTCGAGACATACTCTACTGGGCAACTGGAGAGCACAATGAGTACAGCTCAACCATATGAATGAAAGAGGCCGTATATTATACTGTATATAGAAAAAGAGTGTCAAACAAAATGGTGTATGTGAAAAATGGAGAAAAAAAAGGGAATAGAAATCCCTAAATTAAATGTAACAGAGAAGAATATGGGAACCTGGGAAGTCCGTACGTAAGAGACTTATGACAATGCAAGTCAGTATCTGTAAGATGGCTACATGCATATCACAGCAAGAGGCCACTCCATCAGGAGCTCCAAACCCAAGAGAGATATGACAATACAAGTAAGGAGGGAGTTCATAGCATGCAAGTAAGGAAGGCGTACATATCATGGCAAGAGGCCAATTTATCAGGACCTCCAAACCCAAGAGAGATAGGACAATACAAGTAAGGGGGGAGTCCTTAGCATGCAAGTATGGAGGGCGTCCATATCATGGCTAGAGGCCAATTCCTCAGGACCTCCAAACCCAAGAGAGATATGACAATACAAGTAAGGGGGGAGTCCATAGCATGCAAGTATGGAGGGCGTCCATATCATGGCTAGAGGCCAATTCCTCAGGACCTCCAAACCCAAGAGAGATATGACAATACAAGTAAGGGGGGAGTCCATAGCATGCAAGTATGGAGGGTGTCCATATCATGGCTAGGGTGTCCATATCATGGCTAGAGGCCAATTCATCAGGGCCTCCAAACCCAAGAGAGATAGGACAATACAAGTAAGGTGGGCGTCCTTAACACATATCATGACAAGAGGCCACTTCATCAGGAGCTCTATACCCAATAGAGATATGACAATACAAGCAAGGGGAGTATCTGTAAGATGGCTCCATGCGTATCACGGCAAGAGGCAACTTTGTCAGGAGCTCCAAACCAAAGAATGATATGACAAGACAAGTAAGGAGGGCGTCCAAAGGATTACTCCATTAACGCATATCATGATGGCAGTAGGCCAATTCATCAGGAGCTCCATACCCAAGAGAAGTATGACAATAGAAGCGAGGGGAGTATCTGTAAGATGGCTCCACACATATCATTTCAGGAGACATCTTCATCAGGAGCTCTATACCCAAGAGAAATATGACAATACAAGTAAGGTGGGCATCCATAGGATGGCTTCGTTAAAGCATATCATGGCAAGAGGACCCTTCATCAGGAGCTCCATACCCAAGAGATTTATGACAATAGAAGACAGGCTTCAAGAAGATGGCTCCAAGATGGCTTTATACCCAAGAGACATATAACAATATAAGCCTCCTGGTCAGGAACTCCATACCAAAGAGAGATATGACATATAAGTGAGGCTGGGTGTCCGTAAGATGGGGCCATGTATATGATTGCAGGGGGCCTCCTGATTAGGAACTCCGTACCCAAGAGAGATTTGACATATAAGTGAGGCTGGGTGTCCGTAAGATGGGGCCATGCATATGATTGCAGGAGGCCTCCTGATTAGGAACTCTATACCCAAGAAAGGAGGCAAGCGAAGGAGGCGTCCATAAGATGGCTCCACATATATGGCAGAAGGCCACTTTGTCATGAGCTCTAGGGCAGGCTTATCAACAACAATGAGCTTCAGGCTTTGTGTCTTCCAGATGCCACACATAACCAGGTGGCAATTCTGAGGAGAGAGCAGGTATGTTAAAATATAAAAAAAAAGTATACTCACAAATGTAAAAATTGTCAGAACGAGGGAATCTATTTCTTCTTCGGTACACTGTTAAGGTGCCCATACACTGCTCGATTCTCGTACGAGAATCGCGGGAAATCCCGCGATCGTACGAGAATCGAGCAGTGTGAACGAAGACGTGTGACCGTTTCTACTGTACGGTCGCACCTCTTTTGTCGAAACAGCATGCTCGAAAACCCGCCGAGAATCGTACGATTGTCGGCGGGTTTCTAGCCTGCTCGTTCGATAGCTGTGGAACAGGCCGGTGTGCGCACGCGCACACTGCTCGTTCTGCATTGCGGTCATCGGAAGCCCACCCCGCTTTCGATGATCGCAAGTACGATCTGCCCGTCCAAGGTGGGCAGATCGTACGAGCTTTCAATAAGCATACGACCATCGCAAGACAAAAGTCTTGCGATGGTCGTAAGGTGTATGGGCACCTTTACTGCCCATTGCACCTAAATGTAAACAAGCTGCAAATGTGTCTTTGAGCACTAATGGTGCACTCATTAGTATTGCTCCCCTGCTGAATGTGCATGTAATTGCCGGGATTTCCACACAGGACCTGGAAGGGCTCTTACTTCAAGCGATTGTACCTGTGACATAAAACCTCATAATGAGCTGGCAGATAACGTGTAGATTTCCCCCTCTAGTGGTCAGAATCAGCACTAATCTCAAGGGAATGTATTATTATTATTTATTTTTATTACAGGTATTTATATATCGCTGATAATTTTCATAGCACTTTACATACTGCATATTCACATCGGTCCCTGCCCTCAAGGAGCTTATAATCTAAGGTTTATCTATTCTCTCTCTCTATATATATATGTTTTCACATGCAATAGAGATTCACTTGATATAAACAGCCTTACCAACATGTTTGTGTTTTAACCCTTACGCTTAGGGTTGCCATCTGTCCGTGATTCACCCGGACAGTCTGGGTTTTAAATGATGTGTCCGGGTTTCATGGCAGCAGAAACCCGGACACAAGATGTCAGGCAGACAGGAGCAAGCAAAATTAAGTTAGGGGCTACTGGCCCCCCACTGAAAATTGCCTTGACTGTGATATTTACATATGAATGGGCAGCAATATATACATATGAATAAGCCGCGACTCATTCTCCCCAAAACAGTTCTGTGCGTCGCTAGAGTGTTCGGGTTTCCCTTGAAGAAAAGGTGGCAACCCTACGTTCGCTGCCACAGCCTTTTTTTTTTTGCACACATTATAATCCACATTTTAGGCCTAAAAATGACTTGCACGATATTAGTGCAACTCCTTATCAAACCCCAAAATTTAGTGGAAAATGCACTTAAATGGGCCGAAAATAAAATAAAATTTTGAAATAATAAAATATACAAGATGAGGATACGACGAGTAAACAAATACCCAACATGCCCTGGTTAAAAATCGAGTGCGTCTGTTAAACGGCGACAAATTTCAGTACCTCAAAAAGTCCATAGACGCTTT